TTTTGTATCCAGCCTTGTTCAAGTGGTTCCAAACGGTTTTTTGTGCAATGTTTAGCTCCTGGGCAATCGAAACAGTGCTGACATGACGGTCGGACTCTTCGATTTCCATTATTTTATCGACATTTTCGACAATTGGCCTTCCAGAGTTTAGTGCATCTTTGATATCAAAATTACCGGAACGGAATCGACGAAACCAAAATTGCGCGTGATTGGCTGTTACAGTATCAGGACCATAAACACTATTCACATTTTCAGCCGACTGGCTTGCGTTTCCTCCTTTATCGAAGAAAAACTGTAAAATATGGCGTATTTTCTCTTTGCTGGTGTCCATCTTTGACGCGCGCTCAAACAATACTGAGTCAAACAATCACAAAACTGTCTCAGAAGTTTTTTTAGTACGAAATCTTATCTTTCTAACGCCATTTAGCGTAATCCGATCGCACTTATACAACGCGAGATACACATTACTAAAGCCATCTATTGGAAAAATAATGGATTTCTTTTGTACTACACTTTTTGGTACTACATCTTATATCTTAGAAAATAGAGGTCGTATAAAAAATTTTTTCAAGCAAAAGTTGTTTGCATTTTTACGTTGAATAAAATGCCGTAATAAAAAGATATGTTTCTATTTAAAAAAGCAAAGTTGACCTTGTTCTGACCTTGATGACGCCATCCTATATCAAATAACTACTATCGTTGAATGCGTTTTTTAAGCCTTACAACTTTTTTCTGAAACATTTTTCTCTAAAATGCTCCCCCGCCGAGTTATCTTGCTGTTCCGGTACTTTTGCTATATCCTGTATATATATATATATATATATATATATATATATATATATATATATATATATATATATATGTATATATATATATTATTATTATTATTATTATTATTAAAATTTTTGTATGAGAATGCATCTTTACACACTCTTTATGCTAGTCACTAAGCACACAATATGCCGAAATATATCTCGGAAATTTTGAAGATTTTTTTTCTATGACTTACTACCCACACCGCACGAATAACTGTTTGCCGACTGATAGTCGACTTCTTTTAGTCAATTTTAAGTCGATTTTTTAAAGTCGACGTTTGGCCGTCTTTTTCTAGGATGTTTGTTAACTTTAACTATCGTCTGTAAGTCGATTTAGGGTCGACTATTTCATAACATTGGCTGAAAGTTGACTTATAATCGATATAAAGACGAATTTTAAATCGATTATTGACTGACTAACGGCCGACTATAGTCGATTTATTTGTCGACTTTTAATCGACTAAAAGTTGACATTCTCTGATTTTAAAGTCGACTTTAGATTTTTTTTTGCCGACTGACAGTTGACTAATAGTTTGAACTTGGTGCTGTTTGGATATCTCCTATTCGATGTATATTCTATATACATATGTAAAGTAACGATAAAAGTAACGGTTTATTCATTACCTTTCAAAAAATATAATTACGTCAACATTAATGATGAAAAAAAAGATATTGTTACCAAGACATTATTGAAGAAATATTTATAATGATAACAAGTAGCACGTTACTTCCCAACTGTAGTTACACTGAATATTTGAAGAGTCAGGACGATCTTCGAAATTAATATTAAATTATCTTTAAATCTGGTATTTTGTTTCTTTCATTATGGCTTTAAAACGCAATTATACGACATATGCGCCTATAAGAATACTGACGAATAATGTTTATAGTACGGCCTGTATTCTTGTTTCGTGGGTGGTTTCCTGTATATTATCTTCGGGACTATCAGAGAAGTGTCGATCGGCCCGTCGTCCCTAATGGCTCTTGTAACGCTGCAGTACACGCGAAATATGCCTGTAGAGTTTGTAATACTCTTGTGTTTTTTAGCTGGATGTATGGAGCTCTTGATGGGTATACTAAATTTAGGTTGGTATCGCAATATTATCAATAATGGCCCAAATTTTAATGATTATTTTGTTTTCACTTGTTCTCATACGTTTCATTATGATCATTTAATATCGATACTTACGTCGATCTCTCTCTGCAGGATTCTTAGTGGATTTTATATCGATGCCAGTAACCTCGGGTTTTATCTCGGCAACGTCTATGATTATAATTATCGCCCAGTTACAAGGACTTTTGGGATTAAAATACAAATCAGCTAATATCGTCGACAATCTGTACCAGTTGTGCAAAAATATTGGTAACACCAGATTGCCCGACGTTATTCTCGGTATTTGTAGCATCTTGTTTCTTCTGCTCTTCAGAGTGAGTTTTGGCGTTAAATAGATAAATTTATGATAAGTGTAGAAGATATAGACTTTAGGTCTGTTCTTTGTAGTTACACTGCTGAATTCGTGCAATAAGTTAGACTGAGAAAAAATATACTTCTCTTACTTTAACTTATTGCACCAATTCAGCAGTGCAGCTACAAAAAACAGACCATCTGTTTGCATAGAAACTGAAAGACATCAACTATCCTTGTATGGGAAACAAGAGAAGTGCTTCCAAAAATGCGATAATAAAGAAAATACTCTGGTATTTCTCGATTGGTCGGAATGCTCTTATTATATTCATAACAACTACAATAGCTTATCGACTCGAAACTACAGGATCCGCACCATTTAGTCTATCAGGTATTATCTAGTTCTATTATCGCTATATATAACAACACGATGATCAATCATGATAACGTAATGGTATTTTAATAATGAAATGAATAGTTGCTGTGAAATCATAAAAATCATGGAGGTAAGAAATAACAGGAGGAAGTGTAAAGATTTTTAGGTAGTGAGGGTAAGTATGCTATGTGATTGGTTGACCACAGTAATATGGCGTTTTGTACTTTATTATCGCGCTTTGAAAGATCACATCAATATGGCGCATACTGTTCCCTTCTTACGTTTGCTTAAGCTGGTCACACACACTTTTCGTAACAGTAACCGTAAGACGTAACGTAACAATTGACCAATCATGTTAAGAATCGTCGAATCGTAAGGTCGCCATTTTTATGAATATTCGATCACAATTCGACCAATTTTTACGTTACGTCTTACGGTTACTGTTACGAAAAACAGTGTGTGGTCAGCTTTAGACAAGCCAAGGGGGAATATCCTCTCTCCTGTTATTTCTTACCTCCATGATTAAAATAAATAAAATGTTTATCTTAATAAATTAGCGTCGAGGCGTTTGGGACCGCACTTGACGTGGATACGAGAAGATTTCGCGTTTTTTCTTTTAATCATGTTACGTTAGAAAAAAACTGTTATAATTTTTTAAATAATTAATATTTTTTAAAGGAATTGTGAGGAACGTGGTAAATTAATTTTTTACATTATAATTTACACGGATAGAGACGAGCAGCAATGTTGTGTGCGTAAGTAAAAGGCACGTGGTGGGGTTACCCTCCTTTGCGTGGTCTAACATACGCAGGCACAACACTGTTGCAGAGGCCAAGAAGATCCTCAAAGATTTTACTTTCGATTTATCGATGCACGATTGTTTTATCAAATGTAATGAAATACTTCATGTATTTGTACTTTATCGCTCTAACGTATACACAATTCCAGTGTCCATAATCACGAAATAGAGCAAAAAGTTGAAAACGTCCCACACAGTACTAACATATTCCAGAAAGCTTTCAAAAGACTTTCTATGAAATATGAAACATTTCAAAGAAGAGAGAGAGAGAAAGAGAGAGAGAGAGAGAGAGAGAGAGAGAGAGAGAGAGAGAGAGAGAGAG